ATGACTAATGAATAAGGGTAATAACTAATCATGTAAAGAATACCAATACCATTTTAAAACAATAAAATTAAAAATAATTGGACCTCGATATGACATTATTCCTGATGAAGGAGCCTTCTGATGACACCATCCTCACATTTATCCATGCAGTTTTAGTTACAGGAATACTAAAAGGATCTCACTCTAAGGTATTTCATTTATCATGTGATCTCGTGGCATATGGATCAGTAAGTTCATAAAGAACTTCAGGGTGTGGACCAGATTGCCTCTACCAGCTCTTCCATTTCCTCTATGAAAAGGTTGCATTTATATTGTGTCTTAAAGGATGGACTGAATTAAGACAGAATAACCGTGAAAGAAAAACATTTCTGGGGAGGTCATTGTATTTAGAATAATGATTCTTCTAGTGAAATAAAACAAAGAAATAAAAATGAAAGGATTTTAACAAAATATAAGTAGCAGAAAAAGAATGAGGGAATGAATAAATGATTTACCTATCCAAAATTCCCAATGAAGATCAAAAGGATTTAGACATACTATTTGCTGCCAAAAGAGAGTATGTTTTTGAGAGATGTATAAAAACCGAATGGCAACTCAGTTTGCCAGGTAAATGTTTAGTGGACTGCTGACCCCACTTTTCTAGCATGCGTCAGGACAACCAGAGTGTCAGGTGTGGCTTAATGATGGAACCCAGCCTAAGGGAGAATTCAAAGACATTCCTTTGTGCACTGATGAGGTTTCCTCTAAGTGTCAGCAATGACCACCAGAAAAGCTGCTGGTCTGGCCAGAATCAAGGGTAGCATTTCAAGCATGAACAGGCACATTAAGGAGCTTCTTCAGAAGTAAGATCACAGGATCACTTAATGAAATCTGTGAGAGACAGAGACGGGAGAGAAGGAAACTGAAAGAGAGAGAAAATACATACACAACAGACAGTGCAGTTACAAATGAAAGCAAACAGGAACTGACCATTTCTGCAGCACATTCTGTGCAACACTGAACAAAAGTTAAAGCGAATTAGACTTTAAAGAATTAGTAGGGGAGGAGCAAACAAAAATCCTCTTTATTAGATGTGTCAAAATTTAAGCTGAAGAACTTATTTCTCACATTGTAAAAGGGATATATTTGAGGTGCTCTCTTCACTCTAT